CCCAGAAGCGGACTCCAGGCAAACAACTTTTCCCAGAGATCTTTGTCTGTTTAGAAGGAGGAGGAGAGGCAGAGAAAGAAAGAAAGAAAGAAAGAAAGAAAGAAAGAAAGAAAGAAAGAAAGAAAGAAAAGATGGAAGGAGAAGAAAAGAGGATGGAGTAAGGAAGGAAGAATCAAAATAAGGAGGTGGTGATGTGAAGGAATTAAACAGAAGGGACATCTACACAAGGCATTTGCCAACTTGGGCCCTCCAGGTGTTTTGGACTTCAACTCCCACAATCCCTAACAGCCTCAGGCTGTTAGGGATTGTGGGAGTTGAAGTCCAAAACACCTGGAGGGCCCAAGTTGGCCCATACCTGATCTACACTCTAGAATTAATGCAGTTTGACATCACTACGAACCCTGCAATCTGTCGATTTTGCTAAAGACCTTGTAAAACTAATACTCCCATGTTCCCATAGCGCTGAAACTTTGCCACAAAACTTTGCCACAAAACTTTGCCACAAAACTGCACTACTTTCTACAATGTAACTGTGCCCTTATGGAGAAGTTAGTCCAGTCCTTTGGGATCATTTGGAAACAAGAAATAAAGAATCTTATTGACAGCCGGCGCTGAGGTCCCTGTCTTCAAATTGATCTAACTGCAGCAGGGAGTTCCACAGTTTCTGGAAGCATGGGTTTTCCCAGCATCTGCAGGACAGAGATACCAGCAACAGCCTCAACAAAGGACTCTCTTTTTCCCTTCCCTACTAACTTCCCTTAGCTTCATTGTAACAAYCCCCCAATAAAAAGGTATCWCTTTCTTYTACTTTTCCCTCTCTGAAGTGATACATTGTSTCTTTTACTGACTTTWACTCTACTYCAACTATGAACTTTCCCTCTCCYGARCCATGGAGCCCTGTTGGCTCAGCCRRGAYGCACCTGCAGCRTCCCAGGAAGGCCRAAACTGCRTTCCTTTAAAYCGCGGATACGGAGACCMACATGGTCTCSGTATCYGCGGRTTAACCGATCTGCTCCAAATCGGTGCCATCTTTCTCCCTGCAACTATGAACTTTCCCTCTCCTGAGCCATGGAGCCCTGTTGGCTCGGCCAGGATACTCCTGCAGCGTCCAGGAAGGCCGAAACTGCCTTCCTTTAAACCGCGGATACGGAAACCCACATGGTCTCCATATCCGCAGGTTAACTGATCTGCTCCAAATCGGTGCCATCTTTCTTCCTGCAACTATGAACTTTCCCTCTCCTGAGCCGTGGAGCCCTGTTGGCTCAGCTGGGATGCACCTGCAGCGTCCAGGAAGGCCGAAACTGCGTTCCTTTAAACTGCGGATACGGACACCCACATGGTCTCAGTATCTGCGGATTAACTGATCTGATTCAAATCAGTGCCATCTTTCTCCCTGACGAATTCTAAGTCTAACTGCCATCTCACTTTCTGCTGAACAGACGCCTACACCCTTCAAATCCGCTTCTTCAGTCCAAAGCCCCCATGTAGTAGTCTAAGACTTTCCCCCCATGGTCCCATGGCTCCACATGGCAACGATATTCGTGTTCCCTCATCGTCTTGTGTGCCTCGACATGGAGCCTGCTGACCCCAGGAAGCTCCTCATGTGTCATCCCCTGTGAACTAGGCCAGCATCGGGCCAATTTGGTGATTTTTATGACAACAATTGGGACTTTTTGTTTTTGGAGCGACTTGAGAAATTGCAAGTTGCTTCTGGTGTGAGAGAATTGGCTGTCTGCAAGGATGTTGCCCAGGGGATGCCTGGATGATTTGATGTTTTTATCATCCTTGTGGGAGGCTTCTCTCATGTCCCCGTATGAGGAGCTGGAGCTGACAGAGGGAGCTCATCCGCCTCTCCCCAGATTCGAACCTGCGATCTGTCAGTCTTCAGTCCTGCCGGCACAGGGGTTTAACGCACTAACAGAAGTATTACAGCTGAGTTTTCAAGAGTTAGTCTGCTTCCTTTGAGTTTTAAGTGCTCCATGCATTTGCTGAAATTGATTATAACCCACTAATTTCATTTGTTTGTTTCTGCACCCTTTAAAAAACTCATTATACATTATTTTATATACAGTACACAGACCAGGGGCTGTTTCACACTATCCAGTTATAGCCTTTGGATCCCCCTTTACCAGCTCTTGGGATTTATAGTTTGGTGAAGCTTTCTGGCAGAGACATAATCCAATGCAGTTTGACACTACTTTTACTCCTAGGGCTCGATGCTATGGAATCCTGGGTGTTGCAGTTTTACAAGGTCTTTAGCCTTCACGGCCCAAAAAGTGCTGGTGCCAAAACAAACAACAACTCCCAAGATCCCATGGCATTGAGCCAAGACGGTTAAATTGTGCCAAACCACATTTCATTATATAATGTCGTTTATCCAAAGTCCCCTGTAAACTGCAAATCTCAATATTTGAGTCTCTGCTCTGAGTCTCATTGTGGAGAGAAAAAGCGGAGGATAAATAAATGTAATCTATATAAATAAAAATGTAATGTGCGTTTGTGGGATTAACAGAACTCAAAAACCACTGGGGGAATTGACACCAAATTTGGACACAAGACACCTAACAACCCAATGTATGTCCTTCACTCAAAAAAATTGATTTTGTTATTTCGGAGTTGTAGTTGCTGGGATTTATAGTTCACCTGCAATCAAAGAGCATTCTCAACCTCACCAACGATGGAATTGAGCTAAGCTTGGCACACAGTTCTCCCATAGCCAACAGAAAATACTGGAAGGGTTTGGTGGGCAGTGTCCTTTGGTTTTGGAGTTGTAGTTCACCTACATCCAGAGAACACTGTGGACTCAAACAATGATGGATCTGGACCAAACTCTACACAAATACTCAATATGCCCAAATGTGAACACTGGTGGAGTTTGGGGGAAAATAGAATCTTGACATTTGGGAGTTGTAGTTGCTGAGATTTATAGTTCACCTACAATCACAGAGCATTCTGAACCCCACCAACGATAGAATTGGTCCAAACCTCCCACACAGAACCCCCATGTGGGCCACAGCAACGTGTGGCAGGGGACGGCTAGTAATAATAAAAATAAGAGGATTTAAAGATAGAATGGCAAAGACTCTGGCACAAGCCAGTAAAGGTGGTCCCATTGGTGATCGGCACACTGGGTGCAGAGCCTCAAGACCTTGGCCTGCACTTAAAAACAATCAGCGCTGACCAGATTACCATCTGTCAGCTGCAAAAGGCCACCCTACTCAGATCTGCACGCATTATTTGCCGATACATTACAGTCCTAGACACTTGGGAAGTGTATGACGTGTGATCAAATAGAAATTCCAGCATAGTGTTTGCTGTGTACTTATGTTGTTTTGTATCAAATAATAATAATAATAATAATAATAATAATCCATTTCCAGTTCAAGATGCATGAATTGTGTGGAAAGGAAAAATTGTCATTAAAAGAGACTCAAAGTGCTACAAGAGGGTAATAAATATTATTGTTGTGTTGTCGAAGGTTTTCATGGCCAGGAATCACTGGGTTGCTGTGAGTTTTCCACCCAGTCCAACCTCATTCTGCCAAGAAGCAGGAATATTGCATTCAAAGCACCCCTGACAGATGGCCATCCAGCCTCTGTTTAAAAGCTTCCAACGGAGGAGCCTCCACCACACTCCAGGGCAGAGAGTTCCACTGCTGAACGTCTCTCACAGTCAGGAAGTTCTTCCTCATGTTAAATATGTTCTGCGTTATACTGACTAGTCATGCCCAATTAAATAACAACAATCACAATCTTTGGATTTGCCATAGATGTGGGCAAAACGTCAGGAGAGAATGCTTCTGGAACTTAGCCATCATCCCGGAAAACTCACAACAACCCAATAATGAATTTGATTTGCTAACTTGATGGCAGATTTTGGGGGGAAACCAACCCTTTAAGGGTGCATCTACACTGCAAAATTAACGCAGTTTGGAACCACTTTAAAATGTCATAACTCAATGCAACTGTGAGTTTAACAAGGTCCATCCTGAGCATCCTGCGCCAAACTACAACTCCTAGGATTCCATAGTATGGAGCCATTGCTATTAAAGTGGTGTCAAACTGCATTAAATCTACACACCTGGTAATTAGTATGTACAGGAGGCCTCGATCCATGGGTTGGTTAGTTACAGCTAGAGTAGACCAATTGGGTCCAATGTACTTGCACAAGTGTCAAGGGGAGGAAATAGGATTGGAGTTTGTGAAAGTTTCTGCTGCAGTCAATCATTGGGTTCCATTGAGTTTTCAATCCTTGGATGCTTCTAGTCTACACTATAGAATTGATGCAGTTTGACACCACTTTCCCTGCCTTGGCTTCCCTGCTATGGCATCCTGGGAGTTGCAGTTTGGTGGGTCACTAGAACTCTTTGGCTGAGAACTTGTAAAACTACAAATCCCATACTAATATAATACCGAGTCATTGGCAATTCAAGTGCATTCATTAAGTATGGGATTGGTATCCTGGGAGTTGTAGTTTGGTGGGTCAGCAGAACTCTTTGGTTGAGAACTTGTAAAACTACAAATCTCATACTAATATAATACCAAGTCATTGGCAATTCAAGTGCATTCATTTGTAACATTGGGTGGGTGGGATTTGTTTGGGGTGTGTGGAGAAAATCCTTTGTGTGTGAGTGAACATCCCCACGGGTGTTTCTTAAAAGTTGCAATAGGTATGGAAGGGAGGAATAAAGCCTGCCTAATACTTTCCCTTCAAGATCAGACCCGAATCCCCTTTTGGGGGGCGTCCACACTGCTTCTTAGTTCCACGCGTGACCAAACCCACCCACCCGCGTGGGAGTGAAAATAGCCATAGAAAGGAAAGTTTCCCCGCCTCCTTCCCTTCAAGATCAGACCCGAATCCCCTTTTGGGGGGCGTCCACACTGCTTCTCAGTTCCACGCGTGACCAAACCCACCCACCCGTTGGGAGTGACAATAGCCATAGAAAGGAAAGTTTCGCCGTCTCCTTCCTTTAAAAAAGAGACCCGCAAAGAAAGACTCACCTCGTGGGAAACGCATCTCGCGTGGGTGGGTTGCCTTCGTGGCGTGGAAAGGGATCTCCCTTTCCCAAGTGGGTTCAGGTTCCTGCTTTCGTGATGCTTCTTCGTTCCTCCGGTGCCTCTTCCTCCTCCTTTGCTCCGGCTGGGGATCCTTCCACGAACACGCAGGGATCCCCCCCTTTTTTCGGCTCCCACCTTCTCTCCGGATTCAACTCCCCTTTCTTTCTCTCCTAAGGTTTAAGGCACTGCGAATCCCCGTCTCGCCTCCATCTCCTCCTCCTCTGGCAAGGAAGGGCCTTGTGTGTGTGTGTGTGTGTGTGTGTATGTATGGTGTCTGTGTGTGTGTTGCGTGTGCGTGGACTGGCCGCCTCTCCAAAGCGCGCCCGCCTCCCTGGGCTGCCTGCCTGCCTGCCTCCCTTTCTCCCGCGCCAAGGGAGCGTCGCCAAAGTGCGCGCCGCCCTCCCAGGCGAAGGCCCTCCATTCAGGAAAAGCAGAGCTGGGAGCTGGGTTGCTGCTTACTGGAGGACGCTTAAGGGGGCAGGGACAAGGCAGGCTCAACCACAACAACAACAACAGCAACAACAGCAACAACAGCAACAACTATTGTGTCCCACCCTGGTCATTCCACAGATATATAAAACCCCTTTTCCTAGTTCCAACAGACCTCACAACCTCTGAGGATGCTTGCCATAGATGCAGGCGAAACGTCAGGAGAAAATGCCTCTAGAACATGGCCATATAGCCCGAAAAAACCTACAACAACCCAGTGATTCCGGCCATGAAAGCCTTCAACAATCATTGTTATTATTTTCTTACCCGACTCCCCATGGATACAGGTAAATCCCACAATATAGATCAGGGCTGGGCAAACTTTAGACTTGGTGTTTCGAACCTCAGCAGACTGAAAGCCAAAACCAAGGTCACAAGGACATCTGTTATAGAACTCCAATATGCTGATGACAACGTTGTCTATGCACATTCAGAAGGAGACCTACAAGCCACTCTAAATACCTTTGCAGAAGCATACGAGAAGCTCGGCCTGTCATTGAACACTGAAAGCCAAAACCAAGGTTACAACAACATCTGTTATAGAACTCCAATATACTGATGATAACATAGTCTGTGCACATTCAGAAGAAGTACAAGCCACTCTAAACACCGTACAAGAAGCTCGGCCTGTCATTGAACATCGAGAAAACCAAAGTGCTCTTCCAGAAGTCACCAGCCAATCCCTCTGTAATGCCAGAGATACAGCTTAACGGTGTAATATTAGAAAATGTGGACCATTTCTGCTCCCTTAGCAGCCGCCTCTCCACAAAAGACACTGAAATATAACACCAACTGAGCTCTGCAAGAGCAGCATTTTTCCGAATGAAGCACAGAGTGTTTGAGGACCGGAACATCCATGGGGAGACCAAGGTGCTTGTTTATAAAGCTATTGCCCTCCCAACCCTGCTCTATGCCTGTGAGATGTGGACTGTCTACAGACGTCACATACAACTCCTGGAACGATTCCATCAGCGCTGCCTCTGGAAAATCCTTCAAATCTCTTGGGAAGACAAGCAGACAAACATCAGCATGCTGGAAGAAGCAAAGACCACCAGCATTGAAGCAATGGTCCTCCGCCATCAATTCCGCTTGAACGGCCACGTTGTCCGGATGCCCAACCACCGTCTCCCAAAGCAATTGCTCTACTCTGAACTCAAGAATGGAAAAGGGAATGTTGGTGGACAGGAAAAGAGATTTAAAGATGGGCTCAAAGCCAACCTTAAAAACTCTGTCATAGACACTGAGAACTGGGAAACCTTGACCCTTGACTGCTCCAGCTGGAGGTCAGCTGTGACCAGCAGTGCTGCAGAATTTGAAGAGGCACGAATGGAGGGTGAAAGAAATTGAAAGATGGGTTCAAAGCCAACCTTAAAAACTCTGGCATAGACACTGAGAAGTGGGAAGACCTGGCCCTTGAGTGCTCCAGCTGGAGGTCAGCTGTGACCAGCAGTGCTGTAGAATTTGAAGAGGCATGAATGGAGGGTGAAAGAGAGAAGTGTGCCAAGAGGAAGGCGTGTCAATCCAACTCTGACCGGGACCACCTTCCACCGCCTTCTCACTACAGGAGAACATGCAGATCAAGAATAGGGCTCCACAGTCAACTACTGACCCACCAGTACACTGATCTTGGAAGACTATCCTACTCGGATCGCCGACGTAAGTAAGTTTTGAACCTCAACTCCCAGAATTCCTAACAGCCGGTAGGCTGGTTTGCTGTGAGTTTTCCGAGCTGCATGGCCATGTTCCAGAAGCATTCTCTCCTGAATTTGGCCTGCATCAATGGCAGGCATCTTCAGAGGTTGTGAGGTCTCGGTAGGCTGTTAGAAATTGTAGAAGTTGAAGTCCAAAACACCTGGAGAGCCGAAGTTTGCCCAGATCCGAGTTAGATGGTGATGATGAGTGGTAGTATTTCACCTGCCTCTTCCCTAAGTATATGCATGGTGAAGATTACCTGCTTTTTCCCAATGGATGTGATGTCCCCCCAGGCGGCAGAATCTCCCGCCTTCAAGCTGGTCTGAACCGCAGCAGGGAGTTCCGCAGTTCCGGAGAGCCGAGTTGGGTCTGACTGATGGAATGTGCCCCAGTGAGCAGCTCAAGCTAAACTCAAGACTGCATGGAGCTTTTCTTTCACTTTCCCCTCTCCCTCTCTTTGTAACAAAGCCCCTAATAAAACACTTAAGATTTGAAACTTTAAATCCTTTCCGCTTGATACTTTGTGTCCTTTACTGACTGAAACTTTTCTAACATAAAATAAGCCTTTTTCTGAGCTCCGGGGAACCGTGAGCTCACCGGGGATGCCTTCCCGGCCTCCCCGGGCCCCCAAATCTGCGTTAGTTAAAACCGCGGATACGGAGGTTTTCCTAATGGGCCCCCTTATCCGCCAAAACAACAACATGGCGGATCGGCCCCGTTCAAATTTCATATTTTTCTACATTAAATTCTAAGACTAACTGCCATCTTGGTTTTCTCATTTTGGACTCCTGCACCCGGGAAATAATTGTTTTTGTTTAAATATTAAATCTGGCCGAGTCAACAGCTGATTGTCAAATTTTCGCCGGCTTTTCCGGACTGCTTCATCCCGCTCGCTGCCGCTTGCTCCTGCATGGCCCCCGCCGCCGGGGACCCACCGCCGTTGCCCAAGGGGGAGCCTTGGGAGAGGAGGATCGGGCAGGGAGGCCCGATCCTCGGTTGGGAGCGCTAGTTTTACCAAGGACAGAGCAGTGGAACCCAGCTCCCCCTTCAGCTCCAGCTCCTGCTTCAAGGAAGAACCGATCTTCTGTTGGCCGGCCTGGACCATGGGCTGACCTCCACCTCCAAGCCCCTTCGCCCGGACTTTGGGATTTCCAGTTTTCCTTTTCCTTTTTATGAAATAAATAAAATATTTTCTTACTGTAATGAACTGGGGTTGGGATGGGTTGTGGGTTGTAAAAATATGAAATGCCTGTAAATTAGTGATGCCTATGCCTTATGATTATGATAGATGTAACCCTTATGAATTCCTCTGTATCCTCACCCCCTTGACCCTCGCCCCACAAAACCGGCGTGACCAGGAACTGCCTGAGGAAAGAGCCCCAGCCTCTTCCTTAATCACATATTGATTGACTCATCAGCATGGACAATGCTGCTGATCCCCAACCCTAGCCATCGGAGCAAGGCCAGCGAGAGAAGGGGGTCAGCAGAGCCTCGGAAAAAAAGAAACTGATTGAATCACCCAGATATCGTTGACCCCCCAGGAGGTCCGATTTCGAACTAGTCCATTCAAATTACCCGCCAGACTCATTAAGGGCAGGAAAGCCTTTTGTTTACCAAGTATCACCCTCTTCCCGCCTAAGACAAAGCCCGCATTCCAGCGGGCAGGAAATCCAAATCCCATCATCTTTCCCCTTTGTCTGCGGCCGTTCCGCCTCCTCACTCCTGATTGGTCTAAACTCAGAAGCGAGCGGAGGGCGCCCATTGGCCCTCCCGAGGCGCAGGAGCGTTCTGATTGGCTGAAAGCTGAGGCGGGCCGCCAAGCCTCCTCCCAGCTGTTCCAGCCTCAGCCAATCAGCGTCAAGCCGGCCGGCAAGGGGCGGCGGGAGTTTCAAACTGCTTTCTTTTGTCTTGTACTGTATAAAAATGCCTGAAATCTTTGTATCACCATGCTTGTAGAGGAACTATCCCTACAATTGCATCCGATTGCAGCTGAATCGCCAATAAACCTCGATCGCTGGACTTCTTCCGCCTCTGGTGAGCTTATTATATTTTAAAATATTCCTGCGCTCTTGGATTGGCTTCCGGAAATCTCACCAAGGTATCCAGGACTCTCTTTGGTGCAGTCCTAGGGCTCTCCTCCCTGGAGGGAACCCCCAAAAGAGCTCGATATCAGATGCAGCGGAATCCCCAAAAGTTAGGTGAAGATTGAAGATGGTGATGATGATGATGATGAGTATCATACCTGCCTCTTCCTTGATATGAGGGAATCCCAAAGTATAGGAATGATGATTACTTGGCTTTTCCCCAGTGGCTGTAGAGAGACCCCAAAATTGTTGTTATTGTTATTTGTAGTAGTAGTAGTAGTATCTTACCTGGTTTTTCCCTAAGTATAGGGATGGTGATGATTATCTGCCTCTTCCCGTGGATATAAAAGAACCCCAAAGCATAAGGAAGATGATTACTTGCCTTTCCCCCAATGGATATAGGGGAATCCACAAATATAGGGGTTTGCACTGTAGCTATTAGTAGTAGTATCTTACCTGCCTCTTCCCATCGATATGAGGGAACTCCAAAGTATAAGGAAGTGTGATGACTTGCATTTTCCCCAATGGTTATGGAGGAACCCACAAATATAGGGGTTTACACTGTAGCTATTAGTAGTAGTATCTTACCTGCCTCTTCCCATGGATATGAGGGAACCCCAAAGTATAAGGAATATTATTACTTGCCTTTCCCCCAATGGATATAGAGGAAACCACAAATATAGGGGTTTACATTGTTGTTGTTGTTGTTGTTGTTGTTGTTGTTGTTGTTGGTAGTAGTAGTAGTAGTAGTAGAAGTGTCTTACCTACCTCTTCCCATGGATATGAGGGAACTCCAAAGTATGGGGATAATGATTACTGGGGAACTCCAAAATATGGGGAGATTAGATTATTGTTGTTGCTATTGTTAGTAGTAGTAGTAGTAGTATCTTACTTGCTTTTTCCTCAATGGGTATAGGAGAACCCCAACATATAGGGATATAGGTGTTTACATTGTTGTTATTGTTGATATTATTAGTATTAGTAGTATCTTACCTGCTTCTTCCCAAGAATATGAAGGAACC